CCCCAAAACCCCAAAACCCCAAAACCCCAAAACCCCAAAACCCCATTTCACAAATTTGGGTTGAATAACTGATGCTTGGGAACAAGTCGACCTTAGTTTAATTCTTCCTTTCTTGGCCGGTCTCTGCCATTTGATGTGAGTAGCTTATTGAATCATTACGATTCTTGGCACTAAAATCATTCCCTTGAGAGACTAACTTCGAAGATTTTCTCTTCTTAACAGGAGACAGTTGGAAAGGACTGTCTCCATCTAAGCCATTATTCTTCATAAGAGGGGTTGAAATATACTCGGCAATGACACTCTTAGTGTTTTTCAGAGGTCTCCTCTTACCGTTTCTCTGTAACTTCTTAACTTCTCTCTCCTGGTCCTCAACGGACTTGAAAGTGATCTTGAGTCTGTCTAGCATTTCCCTTTCCTTATTCTCCATTTCCTGGATTGTACTGTAATTCTGGGTTGCGTCATTCTTAAGCTGGCTTATCTTCGACTGGTATGCATTCTTATTTGTTAAAATCCCTAGAATTATACACAATATGAGTCATACATATTCGTCTTAAGGCGATGCCGAAGTGTCTTTTTACAATACTTATCGCCTTTGACCTTGTTCTTAAGGTGCATGATGTAGTCATTTTCTTCCTTTCTAAGCATCTCACTTAATTCACGAGCTCTGTTCACTTCTTCCTGCAGTTGCAGCCTCTTCTTATGGTTTTGGTCTATATTTTACAACTAAATCTGAGAAATTTATGTGAAGTTATCAATGGAAAAACATGTACCAATTTTGTAGTTCTGCAGGTCAATAATGTGTTGTTTCATCCTCATTCGATCAAGTGAATTTTGCTGACGAATCCCCTCAAGCTTGCGTTTCTCCATCGCCTGAAATTTTATCTTCTGGCTCCTGGCTGCTTGCTTCTGGTGCTGTAAAGCCTGGATGCGTTCTGCTTCATTCTTGGCCTTCAAGATCTTCTCTCGAGCACGTTGCTCTTCAAACTCAAGTCTTTTAATACGATTTTGGATGAGACTCATCTGAATTTTGGAAGTCTTACTCTCCATTTGTGCATTGAACATCTCTGTGCCTTCTTCAGCAATAAGAGTTTTATAGTTCCTCTTCCGCTTTTTCTTCTTAATCTTAGGTTTGGCTGCATTCAGTCCATCTACGAAGGCCAGATTTGTTTGTGCAAAGTCCTGGCTCTTGTTCAAACCTTCGTTCTTGGGGTGAATTCCAGGTAGAGACGATGTCCCGCTCATGTAGGACTTCACGGGAGATTCCCCTGTGTAATCTATCGATGAACTCATTTGCTGGTTCGATTTCATATTCTGGATTAGTAACAAATATTTTATTTTTCAAGCAGAAAGTGTCTATTTGGGGTTTTGGGGTTTTGGGGTTTTGGGG